TTTTTGGTTTTCAATTTTTAAACTTGCAAAAAGAAACCCTACTTAATGTCTCTTGGTTTTTAAACCAAACTATCTAACAAAAAAAGGCAAACTGTTAGTCAGTCAAAAACCAGCCACTGTCTGTTGGCTCCTTATACCGGTTGGTTCATCGAATTTTGCCCACTCCTAATTCTTTCTATTGATTGCATATGGTGAGAATCCTTTCTGTTTCAAAACATTACACGATATATTTATTAAAAAAATTATTGTTTTTTCATAAAAAAAATTAAAGATAATCAAACTTAAAAATGTGTTAATGCATATAAGATACATGAATTGATTAAATCTAATTCTATTTATATTATATTTTAATAACTGAACTGAATAAATATAAAAAAATGTGTTGAATTGAGTGTTTACTAATTATTTTCCAATAAAATACCACCAAAATTAGATTCAGGATTATTTTTTTCCTTCCCTAACAAAAAATCTTATCATCATTTTTCTGTCCCCAGACAAAAATCTCACTAGCACCACTAAATCATGACTTGTAGTCTCTTTCCTTGCCTCAATGGAGTCCTGGTTTTCATCACCAAATCCTTAATTGGATGACACCACCAAAATCAGAATTGGAAACGTTATTCTTGCCCCAACAACAATTTTCTACAATTTCTAATCGACAGAGGTAGTGGTATGTTTTCCGGTTAAGGACAGAGATCCCAATGGGATGAAGTGTTCCCCATCAATTGCCGGAATAAGACATTTACCAAATTTCATTGAAAGTTCATACAAAAAAGTTGTATACAATTTTTTTAATTATTTTTTATATTATATACATTTATTTATTTAACCGCATGTTATAATTTAAACTTATAATTTAATATGACATTCTAATTATAGTATTGTTATATTTAAAATTTATCCCAAATTAGTATTTTTTTTAAAAGGGAGATAAAAAAATTTTTCTTAGTTTAACCCTATTGTTAACCATTAATTAATTATCTACCCTATTACCAAAGTTTTCTCTTTGTTTTTGTTTTTTTTATTGAGGGTAATATAGATAAAAACATACATTTTCTATGAATTCTTAATGCATAAAAAGTCAAAAAAGGAAAATTATTTCAAGAGAATGATGAAAAATCAACCAAGAGAAAAATGATAATTACAAGGTTTTTCTAACCGTCCCTCCAATTGATTGGCCTCCACCTAGATATTTTCCAGATTTCTTAAAATGATTGAGAACAAGAATTCTCTAATCTCTATCAATTAAGATAGTGTTTGGGTTACTTTTTGATTGAGCTTTTTCATATGGTACTTCATAAAAATGTTAATTTATTATAATTAAATTAATTTGAATTGATATTTTGTATAATCTTGTGATTATTTTAATAATACTCTTTTTCAAGTAATTATTAAACAATAACATAATTTTTTCCATTGGTAAAATACTTAAAAACCTATAATCACAGTACTTAACAGGAATTCCAAACCCAACCTAACAAACTTACGCACCTTAGGCAAATCCCATTTGCAGCGGCAGGCAATAGTGACATTATTTCACAGCATCAACTACACACATATTTTATGCTTATTATAGTCAATGACATCAACAATATTAAATGGCATATTTCTACATTAAGAATCACTATCTTAACTTTACCAAACTAATCTAGACTATGTTCATAACTTTAATCCAATCAAACAAAGTCTTTATGAATCATGATCAGTTCCTTTCTGGGTGCTGCTTTTCTATCTTAATTTAACAATTAATACATACAAATATAGAGTTTGAAGATGAGAATCTCAGGTAAAATATTGACAGAAGAAAGAAGTTACTTTGCACAGTTTAATGGGGTTGAACATGAGATGGTGGTGGAACCATAAACAAGTCATTTTAGGGTTCCACGCTGGAAGCTCTGACAGTATTTCACATTCTCACTTGGACCATGATTGGCTAGGGTTTGCTCAATTAACAGCTAATACGTAATGACATCTCCTATTGCACAATCCAAGTTGATATATTTCAAGATACTGCCAAAAATGATTTTAGGTTAGCTTCTAAATAAGTATTTTCAGTTTAACATCTCTTTTTATCCATTATCTAATCAACTAGAATCCCATCAAGACTTCTTTTTTTTTTTTCTTTTTCCTGTTTCAATTTCATATCAAAAGCAAATCCTAAATCTTCTTTGTAGCAATAGTGGAAACTGGCCCCATTGCATTAAAAAGATTAAGCCTTTGTTTGTAAGCGCTTTGTTGTACTGCATTGTGATTGTAATTATAATTTTTTTTGTCCTTTACATCTAAAAAATATATAAAATATTAATTAAAAATAATTAAAGTACATATAAAATTAATTAAGAATTATAAATTTATATTTTTAAATAAAATATTGTGTAAAAAAATTCTATTTGAAGCATTGTCGAACTAAAGTTACTAAACCTAAATTTACCTAATAGTTAAGCCATATTTTTACTTTTGCCCCCCCTAAAATTCACCTATAGTTTTGCCCCCATTAAACAAAAATCTTGAATCCATTTTGGTGTCCAAGTGCATGCATGGAGAAATAAAATGGACATTAATGATGTATTGTCAAACTTTGACATTTTGTGAAATTATATCATTTTTTTTCCCCTCTAAAATGCTACTCGCTGCCCAATACCCTGAAGCATCATCAATAAGGACCATGTGAATGCCATATATACATAAGGCATCAACATTGCATCTCAAAGCATGTTACATCCTTATTGTGCACCCATAACACAAGCATATACATAGAGATATAGACACGCATGGATATATATATCACATTCAGCCTAGAAGATTAAGAAGATTACCAAGTTCATAATAATCTGAGGGGTAAAGCAAAGATGGTTGATGATGGTCATGAGCAAGAACAGATGCTTCCAATTGCCAACGTGGATCAGATCATGAGGCAAGTCCTGCCACCAAGAGCCAAGATTTCAAAACAAGCAAAGCAGACAATACAAGAATGTGCCACAGAGTTTATAAGCTTTGTGACTGGCGAGGCTTCTGACAAGTGTCACAAGGAGAATCGCAGGACAGTGAACGGAGATGATATCTGTTGGGCTCTGGCTGCTCTAGGGCTTGATGACTATGCTGAGGCTATTGTTAGGTATTTGCATAAATATAGGGAAGCAGAACGGAAAAAGGCAAATAACCAAAACAAAGCAACAACTACTCCAGAATCAAAAGAAAACAATGGCCAAGTTCCTACTTTAGAGAACAAAGAAGCTCAGAAAGAAGATGCAGAGAGCAGACAACCATCTTGAAAAGAAAATGCCCAGAAAATGAGAAGGTGCAGGAGGTTTTGAAGGAAGAAGATGAAGAAAAGTGTTCTGTTCTCCTCTTAGGTTTGATTCTATCTACTTTTACAGCTTAAAAATCTAATATCTCTTTGAATTCCCTTTCCTTTCCCTCTTCCTTCTTCTCCTTCTGTTCCAAGGAAAGGAATGTGTAGGAAAAGTTATCAGATGAATTATATTTACTTTGCTTTTTCTTAGGCCTAGAGACTGGTTTTCTGCATAAATTGCTATACTGATTATGGGCAGGGAATTGAAATTTTTCTGTTGTTATCTAGGGGCTTCTTTCAGCTCCTCTTTAAAAGGAATTACATGGAGATAAAGAAATCAGAGGGGAAAATGAAAGAAGACTGAAGATGTTATGACTTTGTTGTAACATTATGATCAGAATGGTTTTGTTATACTGCAGGACTGTGGGTTTAATTTTTTGGCTTGTCAAAAATTAAGTTTTTAGATTTAGTAGGTTGGGGACAGTTTACTCTAGTTCTTTGCAGCAAGTTTTATAGACTGAAGTAAGCAGCTCCTTTGCGTGATTCTAGCAGGTCTTTTCCTACTTTTCAATAAAGAATTTTATTTTTCATATGCTGAGAAAATTTTTTAAAACAAAATAGCAACTGAGTCCAATTTTTGAGTGTATTTTTAGATCAGTTCTTGAGATAATTTGGTAAAAGCAATATTCCTCCTTTCTTCTTCTAGGATTTCCTTAAAACACATAATTAGAGAGATAAAGTTGAAGTTAGTACGTATCTTGTTCACCCTAGATAACCTTCACATACGACTAGAAGCAGTAACATCATTCGGTAATCCATCTACATCTACTGCAGAAACCTCTACTCAAAAAGGTCAAGAATCGAAAATACAGCTAAGCATAATTATCTTAGTTCTTTAAGTTCTACCTTCAACCTGCACTACTTTTTGACAGGAAGAAGAAAATAAAATGAAAAGAAGTTTAGCCAGTAAACATATCTACCTTTTCTTCTGTCCACCTTACTTGATCTCTTTCTTCAAAAACACAAGTAAAGGTTTTGATAACAGTTTATATGATAATACGAAATCAGTTGTCTAGCATCTTCTGTACACAGCCCACTATTTCCTAATTTCATTCAGTAAGAATTTCAATTGAAATTTTTTTTCAGACTTTGGAACAATAAAATACCCTATCTGGGTGTCTGTATTGATACTGTTACCCCATACTCCATGTAATTTTTGGCTATAAGTACTAGGTTTAGGATTTCCTAAACCCTAGATCTGGGGACCACTACAATACTGTAGTTCCACATTACATGGGTAATTGTGAAACTGTAATTCAAATATTCAAGCATGCTTGTTTTTTTACTATGCAATGGATCAGGCAATCTTCTTCCAATAAAAGATGATTTGCTCTAAGCCTAATAATAAAATCAGAATATTTTTCAAGAGTTAAAGAGAATCAAACCTGGGTTTCTGTAAGCTCTTATGGGACCACTTCTCAACTATGGTCTGTTGTTCTCTCCCCCTTTCCCTTTATATTTATTCCCCAAATATATAAACTGCAAGGGGAACTTGAACACAAAAGAGATGATGGAATAGAAACTTCCACTTAAAAATGTTTCCCATTATAAGGAGAGAAATGGCACATAAAAGGAGAGATGATACAGTAGACAAAAGCTGATAAACTTTAAACATAATGCATTAATCTTACCCAGTGCAGTACTCTGTTTTGGTCCTCTTGATATAATGACTTTAGGTACCTAAAATTTTGGGTCTAATGGAACTAATGCAGTAATTTGCAACACCATACTTGACCCAAAACTTTGGGACTAACTGTATCAATGCAGTAATATGTGACATTTTCTTGATAGAATGATCAAGGATTAATGCTGCTGTCATAAGCGCCGAAATCGCAGCATTGAACTCCATAATCTAGTCAGCCTGCATCTCTTGTCAGGTAGCGCCGACCGGCACTTTGGCAATCGTGAATGCCAATTAATTAAAGCTAAAACTGGAATTTCATTGCATCTGGTGCACCCATTTTTCAGGACAGAAGACAAGAGAATCATGAGTTGTCCATATGAGCTTCAGCAACTCAGTGTAAACAAGTGCAACATTGTTGCAAATTGCAATGTGTCCTAAGATATATTTAAAGAGCTACATTGATCTTCTTAAAATAAATTATAAATCAACTAAAAATGAGATGGTCTAGGGAACTAATTACATGCATGTGAATATATTACAATGCCACGAGTTTGCACGCATATAACATTCATTTGCTTCATGAGTAACATGGGCATATAAAACGTTAAAAGACTTAAGAGTATAACATACACAGCATTTCATTTTCTCCAAGTAGTACTTTATTTAGATTTGAATCCTTCCATACAAACTACTTTATGGTTATCCTCTAAAGTATAAACTTGGCCATTGTTTGCATTCAGATTTTATGATGCAGAGTTCACAAGGAGGAAAACCATAGTATTTAGCACTTTTTACAAGTATCATTTGTATCAAAGCTTTCATATCAACATTATTTACCATCTTCAATATTTTCCTGTTTTTCTCCCTTATTATTTTTATTGATGGTTTTTTTGCCAGAATTTAGATTTAGTTTCAACTGTGTAGATAATTACCTCTATCATAAACTCGAAAGTCAATTCTGAAACAGAAAAAAGGGGAAACAACTACAAAACAAAACTAACTTGAAGGAAGAATATAAAACTCTTTTCAACAAAAAATCAGGATTAGACATATAGGCAGCATCATTTACATTTCCCATATTAGATATGTTCCCATTTTCTAATACATATAATTTAATAAGTATTATTCGGGACTCTCTCATCCACCTTTTTCTTGAAATTTTTTGCATTTAATTTACTTATAACACAAGAACTTACTGAGGCAAACTTTTCAGAACCATCTAATGACAACAGTTCCAGAGTGGTGCACAAATTATCTATTCTTTTCTCTTTTTTTTTTTTCTTTTTTTTTTAAAAAAAAGTGATTTTCTCCTTGTATCTTAAATGAATTTGGGGTTTGATGATCTGAAGCGCCTCTAAAGAAATGGTTTAGCCTTAATGACATCTAGCAGCTCAACCAAGCAAAATCAAACTTTGGACACAAAAGCTTACCCATGAACTCAAACAAGTGGCCAACCTAAACCATGTTTGTAAGAAAAGAAACCTATAATCTAAATCCAACTCAATTTGAGCCCAAGTCCTTCATTATAAGTGATTTTTATAGTACCAGTTATCATGGAAAAAAAGGACAAGGCTAGCCTATTGAAAAAAATAGCAGTTCTCTATCTGAAAAAGAAAAGCGAATGTCACAAGGAGATGGAGAAATAGAGAGTGAAATACATATGTTAGGCATTTCAGAAGAATTCACTACGTCAGGACATCTTTAAACTTTAAATGGCCAAGAACTTTGGTATCACAAACTCTGTTTTCTTCATAAAGGAAGGTCACTTTAGAAAAATATCCGATTTATATGATAAATTGATCTTTCCCAGAACCTTTCACATTCAATATCTATCATATCAAGAAAAGGAATAAACATCTGGATACCACTATCACATTGGCAAAATCAAGTACTCTGATCAAGAAAAGCTTCTACAAATCCCCAACCATCATCAATATCAGGTCCTACCCAGTAACCAGTTATTATCATATGAGAACAGCAACATACATGCAAACAAGAAGAAATAATTTCACCAAATTGCTCTGAAGTTGCTGTTAAACAATGATGATGGCCCCAATTGATGGAAAATATCTCTGTATTTGCGCTGCCAAGTGCAAGAAGGTTGGATGCTGCACATATAATTTATAATGTAATATTCTTAGGTTATGCAAGTGAAAATAAGATGCCATGAATGAGATTGTATAAATATGCTTGACAAGGCTGCAGAAATTAATAATGTCTAACTTTGGATTTATTTCTATTTTATCCTCAACTGAAAACAGTTGTGCAAATCAAAATGTAATGCCAGTGACATTTTTTGCTCTTACTTTTAGTGGCAGCTTTTCTTCACTTCTGCTTTGCAATGACTGAACATCAAGTAAAAACCTATTCTGGATGAAAATTTGATAGGACACTAGTTTGATGAGAAATTTATCTCATTAATAGTTGAACCATAGTTGATACCCCTGAACTACAGGTAGTACTTGCATTGAGAATTCCTAGTAGCACGCAGAGGCATAAAGCAAACCAATAAGAACCGATATTGATGGCCAAAAAATTTAAGAACCTATATTTGAACAAAATGAAGAAACTCAAGGGTATTGAAATTTTAATGTAAAAGAATGCCCTATTCTTACCTATTTTTTTTACCACCTGTTTCAGATTCAAAATCATAAATATTTTCACTCTATCATTCAGTCAGATGATATTTTAACCCTAAAATTCATAATTGACATCCTTTTAACTTTTACCTCTTCACTGATTTTCTCTTCACCTCTTTAGCTATCAATAGCATAAGACATCCTCAAAACATATATCTTGAGCAGCAACTAAATTATAACACACCACTTCCAGTAACATGGCAATAAAATGGATAAATTCTGATATTCATATACCAATCAACCTCATCTAATGGATTGATTAGATACAAGAAATCAGAAACATTGTCATTTTGGCCTAGACAACATCCTATTCCCTAAGTGACCCTAAGAATTCCTTCCAATTCTAATTTCAACCTTCTAATCAGAACTGTAAGCCTTTAAGCCCCAATCCCCCATAAAACAAGGGACTAGAAACTGAGCAAAATAAATACACAGTTAAAACAGATTTGTGGAGCAACCATTTTGTTCCATACTCCATGGTACATCAATGACTAATTCTTCTAACAAATGCCACCTAATTCTCTTCTAAGACTTTGATTCACTACCAAAGAGAAGGCAATCGATTAGTGTCTAAAGTTTAGCTGACATAACACATGTTTAACCAAATGACCAATACTATTGTGCCTTTCATGTTTCTTGAGAAAAGGTCTATATGTGTAAAAAGGAAAACAAAAATAAAACTGACCTCTTTTGCTCGCTGCTAGGCTTGAAATTCTACAAGAAGCTGATTTTTTGGGATGTCTTCCCTGGAAACAAGTTTAAACATAGGATTAAGCTTAAAATATCAAAAATTGATTCCAATGAAGAAAACCTTTGATTATTTTATACAACAATACGTTCTTATGGTCTTCTTTGAGAATTTTTGCAGGCAATATTTTCTCAGGAACTAGGGGAGAGTACTCAAAAGAAGAAATGGGTTTAGGGTTTCCAAGAGAAACTTACCTTAAGCAGGTCTTGTGAAGCAGAGGGAAGAGTGGAGAGGCTTGACGACAAGAAGCCCGCCATTGAAGCTCTAATTGAAGCACAGAGAAGTACTGGCTTTTATGAGAACTGGGGAAGACGGAAAAAAAAAAAAAAAAACTAATTAATATGGAACCAGAAAACGACATCGTTCGATTGAAACAACATAAAATTTCTTTTCACATATACGTACACCCTACCCCCTCTACCTCCTCCTACTCAAATTTAAAATTTCTTATTCACCTAAACATTATTATTATTGAATGGGAAATTCAAATCCAGTGGTTTACCTTCAAATTTCAAAATGTTTGAGTATATTCATTGTGAATTTAATTTTTATTAACCTTTTGAAAAATATTTCTTTCTCCCAAATTATAAACTGTTTAAAAATAAAAAACATTATTATTGGATCATGTGTTGTCCTTGCAAGCTAGAAAAATTTAACCAGATCCAAATGGTAATAAATTTGGTGAGGAAATGGGAATGGCACTTCAACATTTTTTTAATCAAACTTACAAGTTAAAGAACAAAAGAGCTAAGAATGGCAATTTATTTGGTAATAATGCGTGTAAAATCTTGACCGTGGAGAGAATTTTCCCCTAATAATGCAACCCAAATTAAAAAAATTGTGAATTCTCGTCTATTACGGCTTGACACGTATAATTCTTCTCTTCTTCTTTCAATTTTTTTTCTGTTTTCCTTTTTGTTAAAAATGATTTTTTGAGATTCAGAAATCCATCAAATTTTACAACATAAAACATTCACAAAATCCCATCGATATTTTAAGTACCTACACAATTTCATATTTTGCGATATGTTCAGCGTAAAAATCCATCAGCTCAACAATTCTCCTCCTAATTTTCCATGTTGATATAAAAGAAAATAGTTTCACGGAATATTTGACACAAAATTCAGTGTCTTATACACACATAATTTCTCTGCCATGCTAGACTGTTTCCAGAAGCAAAAACCTGTGAAAATCCATCCCCCTGAAACGCAAATCCAAAAGTTAGTATGACTGGCTATGGATTATTCTTTCAAGTTATCAGGTTTATCACCTCTCACATTGCCCAGATGATGGCAGTGCCCTCGACAAATTTCAGAGCGGAGTTATAAACTAGTGGTGTCAAATGAAACTAAGTGAGAGTTATGCAACAGGTCAATTATGAACTTCGTTTGAACTCTTATGAGACCTGTGCTTTGATTTCTTCTCCCGCTTCTTTCTGCTTCCACAAATACAAAATTATTTGAAGCAGGATATAAAGAGAATAAATCTTACTTCATTAAAGAAAAATTGTGAAAAACATACTCATCATGCGAGCCATGACCCAAACAAGATTTCAGCTTGCGGTTGATGTGCTTCATATCCTTGTCTGTTGGGAACTTAAATTTCAGAACCTGTTGATGGTAAAATAAAACAATGTTACTTAGTAGATCCATTTAATCATTTACATGAATGTATTAATATTATTTCAAACAAAATGCCATTCGATACCTACTCTTCCCATACCTCTTAGGTATTTACAGCAAACATGAAAGATGCATCAAAACTCAAATCATGAAAGAGATGAATCATATGCGTTAGAATTATACCCAAGAATCTATAGCATTTAAAGATTCAGTAAGCTCGGGAATGGTGTGGGCAGATCTTTGGCGAGTGAGAATGCTCTTAAGGTAACTGCAAAGAATATGAGTTAAAAATATTACATCAAATTCATTTATCATAGATCTAGGAACTTCTTGAATTATGAAGCAGGTCAAACCTCTCAAAGTCAATTAATCCGTGCACCTCATTTGCTCTGCGCAAGGCAGCCAATGCCATCTGTCTCATTGCCATAGGATAAATAAGTCATAAGAGATTATTATATTACAACAAGACAAAGGAATCAAATGATTAAAAAAATGACAAAGTGAGAAACTGGAGGAAGCCTAAAATATTTAAATACGGCAAAACTGAGATGTTATGAATATGGAACTAGCAAGCTTACCTGCATGTATTACACAACAATAAAAACATAAAGAAATGTCATAGAGGAACTTTTAAAATAGGCTCCATTTGGTTTAGCTATTAGGGAACAACTATCAACTATTGACTCTAATCTGGCAAATATGAGTTTTTGGACTATAAACAACAATAATTATTAGCCATTGGATATCAACTATCAACTCTCAGCTATCAGCTACAATTGAAGTTTGAACAACAAATCTGAACAAGACCATAATTTTATGTAATAATGTAAAAGAATGCAAAAATTATCAACACACAAAAATTTAAGGCTTATAAGGCCTCTTTGATGTGTTTTTCTTTACAGACTATCCGCTAAATAATTAGCTAAAAAAAGATGTATATACCTGTCCAGGGGGAAATAGAAGTGGTGCATCAGTAAGCATGATTTTGTCCACTTCTTTCCTTGCTGTTTCTTGCAAATCCTATAAGATATTGACTTGTCAAGTAGATAATTAGAAGTACATTAGAAAGGAAAAGAAAAACAAAAAAAGATAATTACAAGAGATTTTTTTTGGCCAATGATTACAAGACATTAGACATGACATCTTTCCTGGAAGGAACTTTCCAATTCAAATTCAACTAAGTTACTTTCAACCATTCTAGACCAATATAAGTAACATTAGTGGCACTACTCAACAAGCCACAAACATAGGAGTTTATAAGATTATAGCATAAGTTACCTTCAGCTTTTGAGTTTGTTCATCGTTTGTTCCACAGAATTCCTAAAGAACCAAACCTCCAGTCATCAATTGAACCACAAGGCACAAAGAAGAATCAAATATAACTAATGTAAAGACTGCAGAAGCAACTCTGTAACTAGGATGCTCCTTTCCTCCCGATCAACTTTATATCAAATAATAGGTTTCTAATCAAACTACAAAAGAAAAGGAACTGAGGGCAGCATGGCTAACTGAACTCACCTCCATATCATTGACAAAACCTTCAATTGAACGATACGGTGCATAAACAATGAGATCAAATTCCAAACTCTGCATATCAAAACATACACTTAGTTGCTTATAGAAACACAAGAGAAAGAAAGATGGGAATGATAATAAAGAGAAACCACTGCCATGCCTGATAAACAATCATCTCATAATTGAGAATTATTTGATGATCCTGTGAAATCCCCTTACCAAGCTCCTCTGCTGATACATGATTTTCTTCTATCTTACAGGCTGCATAGACACAGGTTAACCTGTACATAAAAATAAATTTTTTCATCTTCACAAAATATTATAATTTCAAGAAAAATGCCCATTCAGAAGTAAAAAAAAGACATAACCAACATGACATCAAATGAAAAATTATGCTTAAGGAAACATATAAAAAGGATGCAATCCATACTTGCATAAAAAGTAGGATAGGGAAACCAGGAAGGTAACTTGAGCAGACTAGCATATCATGACATTCAGCAAAAACACCAATAGCATGCCCTCAAGTAGTTTAAATAATTGTTAAAATTTACTGACTTATAGCATTTTCTTAGAGCATTTCAGGACTGATTCTAACACAAGATCCAATGAAAAATTGGCTAAATTTTATGCATACATAAGCAAAAGACATCCAAAAGAATCATACATTATATTTTTTGGGTGATGTTCCATCACAGACCATTGCAGATAAAATCTTTTGAAGTATATGAGAGCTGTTGCCTGCAAAACATGAAACAGTAACATGTCAGAATATCCACTCCCATTAAGGACCTTCATTGTCTTTCCAAACTATTAACTGTATCTTAGAAACAGTAGAAATCACCTGAATTTTATTAGGGAAGTAAAAGGCACTACAGACTTCCCGAAGCTTATCCTCATAAAATACTCGCATAAACTGTTCTTCTTCAACGGTAAGAGGCTTTGGGTGAGAATGCTTGTCAGCTGAGATGAAGAAAGCAAAAACATCACAGTAAGTCCAGACCAAGTAATTGGAACTAAAGCAAAGAGGACATTTCTTTTACAGAAACATAATAACAAATGGCATAATGAACATAAAGGGAAGAAGCCTTTACCACTATCTTTTGCATTAATTTGAGGTTCAGGATATGAAAATGACCCATCAGCGTCAACTTCTATTTGTGTTGTTCCACACTTCAAAAGCAATTACTCAGTCAGCAGAAATAAAATAAAAAAATTACCGTAAGGTTCTTCTGATAGAAGAGAAAAAAATGATAAAAGCATGCAATAAGTAGGAAGAAATTTGCAAAATATACATATGGAAGTGTAAATTACAAGGAATTAGGAATGAGATAAATATTATATATATGTACACACACACACCATAAATTCCCTCATTGAGATTTTCAAATACTTGATATTGTTAAAGGAAATGCCTATCTGCTTTAAGGATAACCATTAAGGAATTTTTTTTTTTTTTTCTTTTGGCCAAACACCAAGTAATCATTGAGGAATTTGAGTATGTAAAAGTTGATTGATTTATCATATTGATTGGAAGAAAAAGGATAATGAAAATACAAAGCTCTGACAACAACTAACAATCAATAACTCTTAAGTACCATGTGAACCCACCTAAGAATAGAAAAAGAAAATTACCGATACAAAACCATTGTCCTAAGCTGCATAAACTAAAAAACTAACACATAGAACAACTAAAATAACTAGTCCAAATCAATGAACAGGTACTTAAACGAACTAACTTGCACAACAAACCAGGCTTGAATGGGTCAATACCATTCATCTAATCCCAAAATGCTATTAGGTGGTAACAGATTTGGATAACAACATGCCTGCACAAATACATTTACACTGATACATTCATCTGTATGCTGCAAACATCTCCTTATATGCACACAAAAAAGGGGCACGGTTGAAGCAAAAAGCCTTTCCCATACCTTCTCTAGTGTCTCTATTGCTCTTTGATTAGCAACTTTGTATTTTTCAACCTATATCAAAGCAAAAAAGAGAATCCTTTTATCATAAAAATAACCCCCCAAAAAAAAACTTTAACAACACTTCCATTTTCTTCCTTATGATCAAGAAATTGAATCATACATAAGTAAACAATTAATGTGAAACTTGATTGCCAAAAGGAAAAAAAAATATATCAAAGAGGCTTTCAGAAAATCAAAGTGTAAATTCGATAATTCTCTAATTACCCCATATCCAAAACCTAGCTCAAAATAAAGGGTTCATCTGAGCAAATTATAAAGTATAAACTTTATTAATTGAAATTAAAAAATAAAAAGAAAAAGAGGATAATTTTCTGCATTCATTTGGTCATTGTAAAAGACAAATTTAGCTTCTGTTCTTCTTTTTCCATTATTTTCCTTTATACTTTCTTGGAAGCCAAACAGAAAAGGTAAGATAAATAAACCATACCAGTTGTTGAGGAGTGAAGATCCACTTGGCTCGGTGAGTAGAGGAATGAAAATCAGCCATTCTGATTGAAATTTCTCACCTTTCTAATAGGAACAATAGAGCTAGAAGCAATTGATGGAAGCTGAGAAGACAGGGACAATGGTAGAGTAGAGTTGCTACTCAAGTTCAAGCATTTTATTTAAGAAGAACTGTAAAATAAGGACATATTTTTTAATTTATGGTCAGGTGTCCTTGGCCAACTTTTATATACTTTTAGAGCACATTTGGAGTTTAGGATGGGATTGAATTGCATAAAATTAATAAGATGACATTGGATTGGATTGGCTTGGACAAGATAATAAAAGTCCAATCTCATGTTCGGTATTTCATTGGACTAAATATAAAATTTATCCCATACTTAGTTTGGCAATGGACAAGATTACATAGGATAACCTATAATTTATATATATGGACAAAAAAGTCCTTAATTCAAAATCAAAAAAAATTTTCAAAGTCACTAGAATTTGTCAACATGGAAAATATTTGAAAATTTTGAATAATCATTAATATTTGTAAACTTGAAACAAAAAGTCCATAAACTTAAAAAATATGTTAATTTATCAAAATAATTTATTAAAATGTCCACCAGAAATACTTTATTTATATAATATAAAAAGAACAATCCAAACTCAAATTTATCAAAAAAAACATTAAAAAATTACCATACTTGGATCTTGAAGAACAAAATTGAAAGAAAGTACGTAAAAAGTCAATGGTGAAACTGACATACTAAGGTCACCAAAATAATTGATATAAAAGTATCAAAGAAAAAGATCCATTTCTATTTTCTTGATATTCATTCACATAAAAACACAAAGTACTAACAATTCCCAGTCAATTGGTCAGTTGTAATTTATTTTGTCACTTAATGCAAATAGATAAAGACAGTAATTTTGCCTACAGTAGCAAGAAATTACCACTGAAACTTTGTTGATACTAATGGTCAAAGCCAAAATGGAAATGCAGAGAGTTAACTTAAAAAAGGCAACTGAATCAAACTTGACTAACTGAAACTAAACCATTCCTCAGAGAATTAAAATAAAAACCCCAACATTTCAAGTTCAGATATCAAAACTAATGACAAGAAGGTTTAGGAAAAAATGAAAAGATTTTTGTATTGTATTACTACTACATGTTAAAACCATAGGAAATGGCTTACTATAACTATGAGCTTTAACATTTCCTAAACCCAACTCCCACAGTCGTTGAAACTAGAAATGAATCAACATCCCAGGTAAATTTTAGTAAACAAGTAGAGATTTCAAGCTAGGTTACTGCATGGATCAAATCAAGGAGGAATTTTCTTAGCAGCCAATAACAGGCAACGAACAGTATGATTTAGCTTGAAAATCAGCAAAGTATAGCTAGAACCTGATATGGAACAGTAATTATATTTTGCCCAAGAACCTAAGCCAAACTGTGACAATAACAGAATTTTGTAGTTAATTTCAAAAGGTAATAAGGCTGCTATTTTTCTCAAGTCTTGCATCAATAAATCACAATGTAATTCATCACATTTTGAGTCCAAGAGAGGACTTCATGCTGCCATAACTTCTTACCAGAATTTAGTGTGCAGATACACTCTAAATCCCAACCTATAGGTGGCAGATAAGGAGAGGAATTGGAGAAGCAGCTGCAACTAATTTTAGCACCCAATTTTAACCTTATTCACCAGAAAATAGCAGACCATCTGACAGCTAAAATAGCAGCTCAAATGCACTTGAACTTAGAATAAAACAAACCAGAAAACAGCAGAATAAAAGGGCAAAATAATGGTCAGATTCTTAACACAAAGATTACAACAGAATTTTCTCCTTAAAAATGGCAGAACTGGTTTGAATGCTTAACAGGAAAATTAAAGTTCTATCTCTTAGCTTTCTATAAAATCAAGAATGGCTTTATTCCGACATCTACAGAAAAAGTTATGGACAGAATACTACTCCAAGGTCAGGCTGCCAGAATTTGAATCAATTTACATACAGATTGAGCTGGAAATTTTCAGAAATTAAGGTAGTTACAAACCAGAGTTTAGCATAAATTTTTAAGTTAAATCGGTACTTGAATGGATAAGCAAAAACAAAGACAAAGGTTAGAAGCTTACGGGAATGAAAGATGAGGCAAGTAACTCGACGCCGGATGAAGAACAGACAATCAACGCGGCGGAACCTCGATGCCTACCACCGGCTACGGCGATGGTAACGGCGACAATGACGACGACTGAAATGGAGGAGAGCGAAGTGTTGGCAGCGGTAGCGATGAGAGGGTAAGTTTGAGAGTTTATTTCTGACTCCGCAGGAGCTACATCCTATCCCGACTAACTTATTGGGGTAGATGGGATACATTTCATTTTATTAGGTTAGAGTGGGATAAAGAAGAGGATAGACTTTGTCCCACCCCATGAGTAATCCGGGCTTCCAAACGTGTTTTTAGATTAATTTACTTATTGGTTATTTTAAAAATACAATTTTTATATTTACTTCATGTATTTAAAGGAATTAATCTTTTTAAATAGTAACTTCAAAATTTAAATTTTAAATCTAATTTACAAACTTGGATTTGTAAGTATACATATTTTACCCGTGTTTTATAATTGAGAATATAAACTTAAGTTATTTTAAAATAATGATATATTAGTTGGATGAATGAAAAGCAACTATGGTTTGATAAACAAACTTTAGGGTTTAAGTTTTGGGTGAACACAGAACATCTAAGGAAATTAGCTAAATTTTTTTTTTTTTATTTGAACAATTACAATTTTTGGGAATGAAAAATAGGAAATGGGATTAAAAGTCTTTTAACCTTGACTAAGTGAGTGACAAATAATATCGTTTTCATCCATCTCATAGGTCAAGTTCTAATCAAAGTTTTTTAAATGCTCAAGGTTGAGGTGAAGTGCATCCTTTCAATTGATTGCTAAAAGAAAGATTAGTTTCAATATACACTAAAATTAGGGACACACTCATTGTCCAAACATAGAAAAAAAAAACATAATTTTAAATTGATCTATGATTTCACAAGAGTTTGCCTCTTTTTAATTAAAAATATTGTAATTCAATAATCACCGCACAATTTAACAATTGTGTGACATGCAATAAGGTTTTGATTGCAATACAAGCAATATATTGTGCCAATTTTCATCAAGTTATCCTTATTGTCAATTAATATAAAGATTGTGTCTTTATTTCAAAATGATGAAAGTTCACACCCTCAAATCTAAGGGTGTGTTTGGTTAGAAGAATTTTATCATCATATAGGTTTTTTTTATTTTTCCTTCAAAATAGCTAGTTAAAGTATTTGAAAATATCAATTACAATTATCAGTTATTAGGGATAACCAATTTAAATAAAACCTAAAATCGGGGAAAGCTTATGTTATTATTATTTTTGTTTATACTCATATATTCAAACCAATTCATAAAAATTGAATCAAAACTAATTAAAACCCATTTAAACCCAATTTCAAATTGAATTGGCTTAAATTGTAAAAATTTAGAACTGTGTAATTGGTTCAATTTATAATTTTGGATTTAAACCAAACAAACAACCCAATCACAAAATAATTTGATTAAATGTATAATATGTGTTTTTCATATTTCATTCATGAATTCTCTTATTTTGAGGTTCATGATATTGCTAGAATTTAGTTGGTTGAATGATGATGATGATGATTATTATTATTTATTTATTATGTTTAGAGATAGTCTTCTCTTTTCAAAACTCTCCTCACTTGTCTTAAAATTTGAATGTAAAATTTGTAATATCAAGATTCGAACTCTTAACTATTAAAATGTCTTTTAAAAGACAATAATTATTATTTTCCGTACTTTTATGAGTCCTAGTTATTAAGTTTCTTGTATTATTTGAGTATGTATTACGTATGAATTTGTCGATACTCATTTAACCTTATAATTTATAGTGGTATTAGTCTCTTTCACTTTTTACCATTTGGTCAAGTAAATAAACACACTTTGCAATACACGAGAGTCCAAATAATTAGAGCAATAGGGCGTTTTTAATTCTTTAATTTGCTCCAAAAAATTAAACCAATCAATCCAACCCAAACCAATAATTTTTAGCAAAAGAATAATAGTAATTAATATTTTTAAGAAAATAAGAAGCGTGAATAATTAATTTCCTAAGTATGATAAGCAAGTTAAAACGAAAAATGATTAAGGGACCATTTTTATATATAATATTTTGACAACCTTATATGCAATTTAATTGTGAGTTCTTTTCATTTAATTAGCACGCACAATTTCATATATTTTTATTTATTTAATAAAAATACATAAAAATTATAAATAAAAATTATATAAATATATAAAAATAACATAAAAGTGAAGTGTAGTTTATTTTACAACTTATATTTTATTTAACCATTAATAAAGAAATAGGTTCCTTAATATTAAGATTTACTCCTCTATTAATGATTAAAAGTAATGCAACTTGCTTTTTTATTATTATAAGAATTAGTTTATACAACAATCAATTGTAAAACAATAATCGTTGGATGATAATAACTTATAATATTAAGAGTTTATCAAATCAAACAGTTTAAATTATACAGTTTACCATAATACAACTTACACATTTGGTCTTTTTATTATTATTAAACTTTTTTATTTTGCAATCCCATCCACCCTTTAACTATTTTTTCTATTTATTTTTAGTAAATTTGATTTAATTTTTTTAATTTTTTAGATGTAAATTTTAAGTAAAAATGTAATGTATTATATAAATAATAATTAAAATTTTTTTATCGAATAAAAATATTTAACAAAAGTTTCATATAAGTAAAAAAAACTTAATTATTATTTATATAATACATTACATTTTTATTTAAAATTTATATTTAAAAAATTAAAAAACAAAATTAAATGTCTAAAAAGAAAAAGAAACGAGTGATTCGACGCTAAGAGAGCCCTCTACGTCAGGCCGCCTCATTTAAATATTTAAATTATACAGATTGCAATTTTTTTTTTTTGAACATATTCCAAGGGCAAAATTCGAAGCGTTCCCTGGGAAAGGGGAATGACTTTATATGTTATCTGACGTTATTAGGTCAAAAATCTAAGTGCAAATTATATAGATTGCATAACAATTCTTTCTTGTTATTTTTTTTTATTAATTAATCTAAAATCATGTCTTATCAAATTGATTAAGAATTTTTTTTTTGACCAATTTACCATTTAAGAGATCGAAGGAAGAAGATTTTTTCAAGGTATTAGTGGGTTTAAAATCAGATTAACTACGCCAAACACATTAAATTTCAGAATAACACACTTTGACTCGCAAAACCCAATTTAAGAATTTCTCTATTTTTTTTTTTTTTGAACAAGCAAGAATTTCTCTATTTAAATTTAAAATCTTATTAAAATTTTATTTAAAATGAAATAAACCACCTTCTAGCATATCGTTTTCCTTAGTTATTATTACTCTTCTTATTTTCTACCACTTTGTCTAATGCGCTCTTCTATGTTTCCTTTTTCGTCAGTCGGTAGTCGGTAGTCCGTAGATTCTTCTATGGGAGGCAACAAAATCTAAGAAGATCAACGCCAACTATCGGTTTTCCTCTCTGTGTAGCTCACTTTTGTCATCCATTAATTTTCACTTCAAAACTATCATTGAGAACCCACTATCCAGTACTCTGCTTCTGCGGCAAGTTTTAATCTTTTGGGCTTTTTGGGATCGGTTCAGTGTGAAAGATTCTTGCTTTTTGGGATAGTTGACAGCTTGAATTCTGGGTCATTTCTAAAAATTTTGCTGTTCTTGGATTGTGGGAGCTTCAGGTGGCTGGCTGTTTGATTTGTTGACCTTTGTATTGAATTGGTGAGTGTTTGCTATTTTGTTCGGAAGTGGTTGGCTTTTGTGGATGTTTCATGTAGAGGATTTTTGAAGCATGGTGTTGAAACTTTGGTGGCCTTAACTTGAAGATTGTGGTTGGAGATTTTGGGTTTGAATTTTGATAATTTAGTGTCTCAGTGGTGTGGTTTTGATTTGCTGATTCTGCATGAGTAGGCATTAAGGGGTCCTCTGCTCTTTGTGGAGGATCCCTTTGAAACTCAAAATTGGGTATTGAACTGTTCATCTCGAGGAGCTTGTGAATTTAAGGACTCCTTAGCTACTTGACTTCGGCATTTCTGAGGAGAAAAATCAAGTTGGGCACTTGTTCAATTTGCATTTAGTGAATTGCTTTGTTTTGGTATATATCTGAGAAATGTTTGGTTCCGGTTCAGAAGCTGGTAATGAAAATAGTGGAATTTCGGGGCAGCTCTTAATTCCCATGCGGTTTGTGTGGCCTTATGGTGGAAGAAGGGTGTATCTAAGTGGTTCCTTTACCAGGTGGGAGGATGTAATGCTTAAATTTTTTACTTTTTCTGTGCTGATAAATGATAAGATCCGTAGATTAGAGACAAATAGAATGAAAGTATTTGAAATTTTTGGTAAATCTGTAGCCTTTTATGGTTAATTGTTTATTAAATTCGTCTTTTGCTTTTATTATTTCAAAGGTTTCTCTTATTCTTGTGCATATGGAATTATCAGGTGGACAGAGCATATACCTATGTCTCCTATGGAGGGTTGCCCCACTGTGTTTCAAGTTATATGTAACTTGTCACCTGGTTATCATCAGGTTAATCATCTTTTATGATTGATAAATGTTACTCAGCTCTATTGTGGTGCTGATAATACAGGTGGGTTCTTTCTTTGTATTTGCAGTATAAATTTTATGTCGATGGAGAGTGGCATTATGATGAGCACCAGCCATTTGTAAGTGGGAACTATGATGTGGTTAACACTATTGTTATCGGTAGAGAACCAGATACGGTTCCTACAAATTTTAGTCCAGCAGCAACTGTTAGACCATCCCACATGGAGGTAGATGAAGCTTTTAGTCATCCTGTAAGCCAAAGCTTACTCTCCTCTCACAACTGCTTTAATGCTTGCTTTAAGTGTATTTGTGTTTATGATTCTACCATATGAAACTAGTTAAGTTACCAGCTAGTTCTCTGCAGGAAATGGTTCCACTGGCCAGTATTTCTGAGGCTGATTTAGAGATCTCTCGTCAACGCATATCCACGTTCTTGTCTACACACACTGCATATGAGTTGCTTCCAGAGTCAGGCAAGGTTTGATTTCTTCATCCATCTCTGGAAACTGTTTTAATGTAATATATTGTGTTTAATTTTTTTAAACATTGCAGATCATTGCCTTGGATGTTAATTTACCTGTGAAGCAGGCATTTCACATTCTCCATGAACAGGTAAATCTCTTTTATGCCCTAAAAAACATGCAGAAAGACACACATAAGCACATACACATGCACGTCTCAGGTGCACGCATTAAACTGTGAATGGTCTTTAGATTGAAGAACAACAAGAGTGTTCTTCTGTTATGGACGTGACTGTAAATTTTGTTATGGATGTGATGGTTGTCCAAACAAGAGATGAACCAGTTTCCAGCATTTTCTTCCTTGTTTGTAGCTGTCTTGGTGTAATAGCTATTTTTCTTCTGGTTTATTCTCTAAATTCAAATTGCAATGCATATTAGTATTAGTGTATTACTGATTGATAGCTCAGATGTACATTTTGCATTTTTCAGGGTGTCCCTGTTGCTCCACTCTGGGACTTTTGCAAGGGTCAGTTTGTTGGAATTCTTAGTGCATTGGACTTTATCCTTATTCTAAAAGAGGTCAGTCTGGAAAATTTTTTTGGGAGGGCAAATGGGCATAGTAATTTTTGTTTTTTTGATTGAATTCAGAAACTTAATTTGATTTCTGATAAGAAAAAAAGAAAGAGGAAATTATTATCAACATTGTTCTCAAGAGCTGAGATTAAGGGAATTAGAGGCCCAAATAAACACGAATTGGACAGTAGTTGCTTTCAGTGGAACCATTTTTGCTGCATTTGCTGCTAATCATGCTTTAATTTCTGTTTCCTATATTTTCACCCAAAAGAAAAATGCTTTAATTTTTGTTAATCTGCAAGCTTTGAGGGTGTCAGTGCTAAATAGTGATGCAGTCTGTTACTTAGTTGTTAAATCTTTTATTACCAAGTTCACACACAATTTGCAAGATTCTTAAAGATGGCAAAACATCTTTTGATTTCTTAAGAATGAAAGAAAAATTGCATTGTCCATCTCTCTTCTCTTCAAAACACAAACATTTAATTGGGAGTATTTCTTTTATTGAGTTGCTTGTAGTTGTTTCCTTTAGTCAATAGTGTCCTCTAGTCAATTTAAGATTTATAAGCATTTAAAATGTAGCTGGGGAATCATGGTTCAAATTTGACTGAGGAAGAGTTGGAGACTCACACAATATCAGCTTGGAAAAAGGGAAAGATGCATCTACATAGACAAATTGATGGCAACACAGGATCATATCCTAGACGTCTTGTTCATGTAAGTTCTTTTTTGTGACAGGATTTTATGTTTATCAGCAATGCATGTCTTCCTCGTATACATTCTATAACCTCTTTTATTATTTGGCTTTTTAGGGTGGTGGCAAATTACCTAACGTGTAGTTTGCTTGTATGTTAATCTGCATTATTGCACTTGAGGTTCTTGCATCCGATTACTCATTCCATTTGGGGAAAGAAAAATCGACAGTTATGATTAGATGAACTTACATTCCAATAATCTGGTCTCCAGTGCCCATTCACATAGGTTTGTATGTGCACCTTTTGGTATGATAGTATAAATAGATTGGTATAACAGTAGTTTGCCATTCATATAGGTTTGTGTTAAGGGTATTGAGGAGTGCAGACTGAAGAAAGTTTCTGACCTACTACTGCCCAAAGGCAAAAACGCCTAGAAGATTTCAACCTTAATGCAGAGCATATTGCATGTATACTTTGAACTATTTTATACCACTTAATTGAAAATGGTACATGGTTGTGCAGGCGATACATCTATGTTTTAGGCAGGCCTAGAAAGACTCAGTCAAAATTCTGCCCTGCCAAGGCTCCATGAACATGAAATCTTTTCAATATTATAGTGTCTGGTTTATGAGCCCCAACCTGTTGGTGATTGAGTGGGTATATATCCAAATGTTTTTGTATTCTGGAAATTACTTAGAAGGCAGATTACAATCATTTGCTGGATATGAAGCCAATAAACCACTGGATTGTATATTGTATAGGAAATTGCTTTCGTTAGTATTTTATAGGAAGTTTCTTTCATTAGTATTTCTGTATTTTACATCTCTCAAAGATCTAGTTGTGTCATGTCATGTCTTGTGAACTTGGTTGATTTGCAGTATGGTGAGCTATTATTTGAAGTTCAACCATTTTTTTTTTTTTTTATTGTTTATTGTCTTTTATGTATATATTTAACCATTTTGAAATGATAGTCATGTATACTTTGGCTTCACTTTCTAATGGGGTGTAAATAATTGATTTTGCTTATGGAGAATAAAAGAATGGAAATGTTTTTTTACGGTCTGCCCTGCATTTAAAGACATCAGTCATGTCTGAGGTTTGAAAAGGCAAAAATTCCCTTAATGAATCAAGAATGAAGATTTATTAATGGTGTTTTTGTCTTTTCCAACTCTGCCCTTATGTTTTAAGTGCAGGGCAGACTGAAAAACATCATTCTTATAAAAGAACCTATTAAAGTTCCATAATTGAAATAATGATCATTTTATCATTTAATTATTTGTTAAGAATAAACAAATATTCTGAGTTCCGACATTTGAGTATCATCTTTTATTCTACTTTTTTTTAAAGTATTTCATATGTTTTTGGTCATCAATTAATGAGTCAAACTTTTTGGTCAGAGGTAATGTTCATCACAAGTAATGTATTTCTGTTGCATACTTGATAGGAGTTGGACTTTACTAAAGACAAAACTTTCATTTTTATGGTTAATTAGTATCTCTTCCATCAACTATTTTAAAATTTTTGATGTCCAGGCTGGGCCATATGATTGCTTGAAAGATGTTGCTCTAAAAATTTTGCAAAACAAGGTGGCCACGGTTCCCATTATCCATTCTTCTTCACAGGATGGCTCATTTCTGCAGATACTTCATCTAGCCACATTATCTGGAATACTAAAATGTGAGCTTTTTCTCTGTTTGTTGGTAGAGCGTGATGCAATTTATTGCTAACCTGGACCTAATTTCAGGTATATGCAGGAATTTTAAACATTCTTCTCGTTCCTTGCCCATTCTTCAACAACCAATTTGTTCAATTCAGTTAGGTACGTGGGTTCAGGAAATTGCAGACATTAAAGGACAGCCTTCAACATTGAAACAGCCTTTGGTGATGTTAAATAAAAATGCTTCTCTTGGTGATGCCTTATCATTGTTGGTTCAAGGTATGTCTCCTCCGTGCTTTTTTTTTTTTTTCTTGCTCTCTTTAATCTGATGTTAAATAAATTAGCTGAATCTAGCCATCTGTTTCAGAAAGGAGAAAAAGTGAAAAAGGAAAAGGAAAAAGACAGTTCAATGCTTGATCCAGGCTTTGTTTATTCTCCTAGTTTTTTCCTCTTTTATGTATTTCATCTCATTTCAAGCTCTCTAATGATCAATTGTCTAACCAGCATCTATAAGTAACTTCTATTAGTGATGTCATTGATCAACATTATTAGGTGATTCTGGCTTCTTTAATTTTGATGGTCATTTTGGCTGCTTTACCAAATGTTCTTAATTTTCCTTTTTGAGGATTTTTTTCATTGATTTTGTCCATTGGATGAGAATTACTCATTGGTTTGTTAGGCATATCATTAATTACTCATGTTATTATTCCTTTTGCAGCTGAAGTAAGTTCAATTCCAATAGTGGATGAGAATTACTCATTGGTTGACGTATACTCACGAAGGTATTGCCTTGCCTTCTTTTCCTTTCAGTGAAGAAAAAGGTTTCTGTTAGTGGGTTTTTTTTTTTTTTCTGATTTTTTTGTGAGTGTTAGTAGTTAGTTTAGTTGGATGGTAAACTAATCTATATATGTCCCGTGTGTTATTTGCACAACAGCGATATAACTGCTTTGGCAAAAGATAAAGCTTATGCACAAATTCATCTTGATCAAATAAGTATCCTGCAGGTATTTGAAATATCATTTTACATGTATTGACTATTTCGTGCAATTATAAGTTGGTCACAGTTATTCAGTTTGGTAAATGAGAATATGAAACGCTTAAAGTGATTTTCTTATAGCTGAGTAAATCAACACAAGCATTTTTTTCATTATCATCGGATGCTTGAGTCATGGACCTTTAAAGTTACAGTTAGAAACTGATATATTACCGAGTAAATCAACATTGTTTGTGCATTCTTGTTCCTATTAAATAATAATCTTTGATTGTAGATTCCCTAGCTTTATGAGATTCAGCAACTTTCTGCACTTTCTTTGATCAGAATGACCAAAGTATGGTGCAGATGTTAGAATCTATAAAAATCCCCACGTATGTATTGCCCCCAAATTTCGCAGGTCTTAGTGGCTTCCTCATGATTCATGAACCATGTTTTTCTCTGCATAGAGAACTAATGAATGTGTTTCCGATCTTGTGATTGTAGGCATTACAACTAGGACAAGATACAAATTATCCTTATGGCTTCTTGAAAGAACAGAGATGTCAAATGTGTCTACGATCTGATCCTCTACAAAACGTGATGGAGCGACTGGCAAACCCCGGTATTTCTTCCCTCTGATTCCATCCATTGTAATAATTCAGTCCATCTAGTATAACTAGACTTTGCTTTCTTGATTAACGTAAGTTATCTCTATTGCAGGGGTTAGGAGACTTGTAATTGTGGAGGCCGGCAGCAAGCGCGTTCAAGGGATAATATCATTGAGTGATGTGTTCAGGTTCTTGCTTGGCGTTTAGCTGCGGGAGGGGTTTACCAAGGTGGTGGATGATGAGGAAGGAAGGACCCATTTGTTCATTGGTTCATTTTCTTTTGTCTCTGCTGCACCCTCAAGATGGGATGGGATGGGATGGGATGGGATGGGATGGGATGGGATGAGCTTGATGCTTCTTAGCCCTCTGCTTCTCCCTTCTCTAGGATAGAAAATTCAAAGAGCAAGAAAAGAATATGTAAATCGTGAGAATCCAAAATTTTTCATTTCAGTAACCTAGTTATTGTCAACTCAACCATGCTGCTGAAGCGTCTCTCCCTTATTATTCTACTGCTAACACAAGCTTTACCTCCTAAAGATTAGGAGGAAAATCATCTTAAAATTACGTCGTTTTAATAAACTTTTATTGAAAAAAAATAAATTACCATATATATATATATAATAATTATGAATTTATTGATAAACGAATATTGTATATGAACTAAATCTATGATAGGTGTGATACAGGCGAAGAAAAATATAGATTGCACAACAGATTATAATCTCTGGGCAGACGCAGGAAGCAAACGGCAGTAGTCGATACTACTTATAAACAAATATAAATAATTAAATGCAAGAAGCTACCTAGAATTATAAGATTACAAAAGTAATTGTCGCAAGTAAATGAAAACAGACAATCACTCTGTTGTGAGGGAGAGAGGCTGTGACGTCCAAGGGAGAAAAATGAAGAAAAAGGGAAAAGTGAGGACCATGAAAGGCGGTGGCAACTGGCAATGAGAGGGGAGAAAAAGGGCCAATTCAATTAATGATTTGTTTTAAAACCTCCTGTTGTACATGAGTCATCGTTGCTTTCGATCACTTCTATATTTTTAGTATTTATCGTCAGGATATTCTTAATTTAATTTTTACATATGTTGAGACTAATCTTTCTTAAGTAATTTTAAAGGTGTACTTATTTTTTTGGGTATTGAACTAAATATTTGAAATTTGAATTTATTTTATAAAGCGACACTTACTTATTAGTAGATTCAACTTTGGAGATTTTAATTACATGTATATATAAAGTGAGAGATTTCCTCAATTTAGTGAGTGTTTAGCAAGAGGATTTTTTACCCCACTTCTCCTTTTTTTTAAAAAAGTACCCTATTGATAACTCTTTTAAAGTTAAAAATGGTTTTTTAAAATTATAAAAGTTAAGAGTTTAGATATTATACATGAATATTTTGTCTTAAAACTAAAATCATTTTCATTTACTAATCAAGTTTTAAGAATTTTCCATTTTCTAATGAACTTGAAAAGGAATGCTCTCTTCTAAAAAGGGAAAAAAAGGGAAAAGTAATTAATGAAAAATACAAAAGCTTTCACTAGCTAAACATATCCTTTAATTTTCTCTCAAACCTTTTTCCTATATAATAGATCCCACTAAGCACACCATCCCCACAGTTTAAATTAACACAAATTAGGCATATGGAAATAAGTCATCAGGAACCTCTCAGCTTTTTTCGTTCTCCTGCTTCTTCTCTTGGTTACTTCTGATAAATATTTTACAATTATTGAATGTCTGTTTAGAATCCCTTTTGGTTGCTTTTCCTAGGAATAGAAACTAACTTATTCTCCAATATTGTTATTTTTTCAGAGTGCTTTATCTTCTTCTTATTTTTACGTGCTCCAGGCAATGAGGTGGTGAAGGTAAACGATATCGGCCTCTGCATTGTGAGCCTTTATGAAGGACCTTGCGTTATTTATGAGTGCTACAGTACCTTCAGGGCTCAATATGGAGAAAATGCTCGTGGATTTTGCTGTGCTCAAAAAGCACCGAACGACACTTGCATGTGTCGCTATCCTTGTTAATTAATCCTTCATCACTTAGTCCACCTATATATATAGTTCTTAATAAAAAGAAAAACCCCTTCTCTTTCATTCCCTGGCATTTATAATGTGTACCATAACTATTAACTTTTCTTTCTTATAAATATATTATGAAATTAGTGTTTATCAATTGGATTTGTAAATATAATGATATTGAGATGATTTTATTTGTATAACTTTTTAATACAATTTTTATATACCATTAAATGAGTGGGTCTTGTCGAGTGAAAAGAGTAAATAATTAAATAACATTTAAGTGGGTCTTGTAGTTTGCATGAACAAAATATTAATATATCATTGCTTACATCACAAGTATTGATTTTATCCATATAAGTAAGGTATAAACAAATGTTAAACCTGCCTTGTATTGTTCAGATTGCCAAATTCAAGAACTCATTTAATTCAAAAATAGTAAGGATGCTCAACTTGGCTTTTAAACTCTCTGAGTTTAGAGGAACACATGAGAGCATTTTAAATGTGTTCCATGCATGTGAGGGGGAGAAAATGTTTTTTTTTTTTATTTTTTATGGTGGATGCTGTATATCCTTTAATGGAGTATTTTGAAATAGGTGGTGCTATAAAAACAACTTTTTTATCTCACCTTTTTATACAATTTCCACATGTCATTAAATAAGTGGATGTATTTTATATCACAGATCCTACATGAATTAAAAGAACCAATCATTTTAATAACACGTCAGGTTATACGAAAATGTGAGACAAAATGGTTGTCCCAATAGCATTTCCCTTTTGAAATAGAAAAGCAAAAAATTTGTGAAGAGATGGGTGAACTGAATGGAAAACATAAAAGACTTTGGATGTTTCATTGAGCAGAAAATAAGAAGGATTTTTTGGGAAGTTATTTTTTTTTCTAATTTTGTACTTTTAATATTGCATTGTTTCTAAGTAACACATGATTTGACGTTTGTGTTCTTCTCATTTTGCAGTGACCTCAATTTGGGCTTTGATGTATTTAACAGGTAAGAGTTAAAGAGGACTAAATTATAAGATGATTGATTCTATCATAAAAAGAAAAAAAAGAAGAGAATCAAATTCTATAATGATTGATTTGATTGTAGAAAAAAAATATATCATGTCATCATGAAAATTAATCAATGAAGGAGAAATCAATTTATTAATTAATTGATTTCAAAATTTTGATATTGATTGTATTATTTTCAATTAACTTTTTTATTAATTTTTTTCCCTTTTGATATCTAGATATCATTTTTTCAGGATTTCACAACAGAGGGTATACAACAGTCCATATTTTTGGACCATCAAGGAAAACATCTCTTTTATTACAGATTTGCGTCATTATTTGCGTCATTATTTTCAAATGGGTGATATCAAGGAAACTATCTTTGGCTCTTCATTTGAACCACAGTGGCGAGAATGGATTCCCTATGGCGCTGGGTATTCAAAGCTGTTTTCAAATCAACCATATCATCCAACTGGATCTTCACTTATTGTCTACTGTGGGTGGCATGCTTAACGCATTATAGCGTGATGTATTTCAAAAACACAAGCAAAACCAATTTCCAAGGAAGGAGAAAGAAGTTATGGAAGACCTGAGGACTTTCTTTCCCAGTTTGTTTGGAAAGATTACTAAATGCCTTTTAAAAAGGATTGTTACATCACTCAAAGTCAACCAGCCGGGGTGATTAAGTCAGTAATGTATACATCTATTTTGTGGTAACG